CTATATAAACTCGTGCGTAACATAACTCTTATGGCCATCCAGTAGTAAAAGTCGATACTCGCCGCGAGTAGTCCCTTCTATAGTTATTTAAGGTAGAAAGATCTAATCTAGCCAGCTTAGTCCGATTTCGTTTAATGTCCAGCCGTTCGAAGAGGTTGTATATCGATAATCTAAACTAGACTCGTCGAACTAAGTAGTTTGAAGCGATTGACCTTTGAAGATGACTAGCGTCTGTAGACGTTGACCAAGGGCCGAGATTGTCTCAACGAGCGTTATTCATTCGCGTGTCTCGGGCGATTTTTGTAATGAACTGGTGGTTATAGATGTTCCCACAACGATTTGATTGCTGCAAACGCCTAGGGCTAATCTAGATTCATCCATATTCCAGGTATGTCGAGGTTGAATTGAATATCGCTCTTTGATCGTCTGTAGATTCTGAAACCATTGTTCCAGAAGCTCAGGAAGTGTGCAATTAACGCGCTTAACACAGATCTTCCTGCCTACCTTTGAACGGATATCAGGATGTCGCTGAATAAACCGTGGTAGCCAATTAATTCCAACGCGTTCAGGGCCGCCATTTACCTTACTAATTACACAAGCGAGATCTCGCACAGTGGAATAGCTAGGAGGATGTCCTTGTGCCTCAAGGTCGAGTATCCATCTCTTTAATAGTTCCTCCTGTATATTTGATAATATCTGCTGTGGTTCGTGGGATAACGCGGCCGATTGAGTGCCCTGTAGTCGGCGGACGAGCGTGGAGTGGTGGACATCGTTCGCGGCCGCGGCTGCACGAATGCTAGGATATCGACGTGATTGATAGTCAGAGATTGCTTGCTGGATCCTAGCCTCTCGATTCGAGGCCATTTACGCGTGATTAAAGGCGAATTGGTTGAGTGGTAGTTGGTTGATTGAGTTGGTAGAGAGGTGGTGGGGTGGTAGAACGCGTGGTGTAAAACAGGGTTGGTGCAAAACTTGGTGGTCAGACTAACATTCCTGACACTCATACCAAGACGGGATACAACTAAATGGAATAATATATTTACATCCAATTATCAATCACCGCATGGGAAGCTCTGACATGAAAGGTCTCCGCATTTTGAGGACATGTGTGGACATAGAGCCCTTCGAAATTCCTCGTCAGTACCATATGGGGCATTATCAACCCATCTATCGGCGAGTCCCGCCAGAAGGAGCTAATTACTACGAGCGAAAAATTGGGCGAGTTTTTTTGGGGATAACAACACACGAGCTTCAACCCAACATGTGCTCAAAGGTATCTTGAACTCGGGTAAAGTTACTGTGTCTATTCAGGAGGGGATGGTGGACAATCGCAAAGCCCTAGATGAGACGCCGGTGGGGATATCGCTAGGACATGATCTCCAAGAGAAAAGAGAGATTCGGTTGAGAGAGGTTCAGAAGCGCAGGGAGGCGAAGGCAGCAGGGAGTCTGAGGAGCCTTGCACCAGGAGTGGACCAATACTCCGATCGGATGGGATAGCGAGGCTGATTGAAGAGAGAGAGAGAGAATCTTAATCTCGACATGAACCAGGGGCAGGCGGAGAAGTTTACCACTGTCAAGAATGACCAAGAGCTGCAGACTGAGCCAGCAGAGACCCCACAGGATCAAACGGAGGTCCATGACACTATTTCTCTATTACATGACTCTACGCCCAAATCTCCTGGCAGATTATGACGACGTGCTGAAACAATCTATTCATATCATGGCACAGGAACACGCCGGGCTCAAGATGAGCTTATATATGAGTATGCAGAAATTTGGCTTGATAACTTTGCTGCTTCGCTTGAATGCTGGTATGCCGATATAAGCGCGGCCAATGCGTTGATACTACTTGATGATACGTCGATGGGCATGGAAGTCCAAACGAACCTCTGAACGATATCAGCAAATCTCTCCTCAACAACTAGGGGTCTAGCTGAAGCTATAGCGCTGGATCGAGAGCAACAAGATCACACTTTAGCAAGTGATGCGCCCCATCTCCGATCAGGCAATAACATTGAAGCTATAAAGCCAATGACCGAAGCATTGGACCGTCTTTTGGATTTGGTCTCGCAGAGAGAACTCTTTCTGGCTACTCAAGACCCACCATTGGGGCCTCTCGTGGATTTGAAAGGTGGTATTGATGAGACATACAAAAGGACAATCCACACCTCCTGACAGAATGCTTCTCACAAAAGGCTACTATATGGCCAAAATAGCTAAGATGCTGGAACCCTCGATTCTACAGAATATTCAGACGCATCAAGCGCCGGAGACACAATCTGTCAAAAGCCCTGATGAACCGACCTGGCCGTGGGCACTGCTCACCCTGTTCTGTGGGCTTCAGGCGTGGTATTCCGATCGGTTGACAATCGAGGCACAGGGTGGTGCTGCGAGTTGGAATGCCGCCTTAATGCTTCCACGCACGAGATCCTTCGAGCTCGACCACGTTGGGGGATTCCGCTCCAGAAGTCGTGGGAATATCTGCCTAGGTGGCTGTTGGCAACGTCCGCATCACGTATCAAATTCTGGCTCGATTTTGATTGACTTTGACCTTCAAGGAGATTCCTTGAGAATGGCAGGGCTCAGTCCTGATATGAATAGCAGTTGGGGGTTTATGCCAATGGTTTGTAAGTCTAGGGCATGACTGGCTGAGGTATCGTAATAGTTCCTCGTTGCTTTAGAACTCAACCTCTGGATATGACTTTCCACTGGCTCCCTAAGGTGGACTAGTATGCCACATTGATTTGACTAGTGCCTGTCAAAGTTGGCTCGTGTACTGGCCATAGCTGACCGCGATACCTTATGACTGCGCTTGGAGGTGAACATTTGGGCAGCTACTGCGGAGCACTGAGTCTGCCTGCGACAAGGCTGAAGAAGTTTAATTGACCACGTCTCCGCAGTGCACAGGAGCATTGACGGAGTGCGCACAACTACCATATACTCCGTCCAACTCTCAATGAATGTCCCTGCTTAAGCACGGGAACCCCGTCGGTCCATCTTGTCTTCTCTCGAGATGCGGCTCTTCTCTTCAATCTGTCTTCTCCTCCTCCCGCTGCTGAGTGCGGTGCTGGCGAAAAGCGCAGTGGGAGACAGAGTTCTGGTCGTTCTGGAAGATGAATCGCAGAAGGGACTCTACTCGCAGTTCTGGGCTGATCTGGAGGGTATGTATATTTCCCTTGGGTTTCAGGGCATTATACGACCGTACTGGAATGGATGAGCCGGGACTGACTTGATCTCATCACCCAGCGCGCGAGTTTAAACTGTCTTTCCAGTCTCCTAGAAGCGACGACCTGTCACTCTTCAGACATGGCCAATTGGCCTACGAACACTTACTCCTCACGCCTCCAAAATCGAAAGGTAATGAACGCTGCTCGGCTCACGGCCCTTACCAGGCTGCATACTGAGGATGTGCAGGGTACGGACCAGCTTTGACTCCCAAGATCCTCCTCGACTTCGTCAATGCAGGTGGAAATGTCTTGCTTGGACTATCCTCCGACTCGGGCACACCCTCCGCCATCTCCTCCCTCCTCCTCGAGTTTGATATTTCGCTATCTCCCGATAAGTCCTCCGTGGTGGTCGATCACTTCCACTACGACACCATCTCCGCGGCTGAAAAGCACGATGTTCTACTGGTCGATCGCCCAGAACAATTGAGGCCTGATGTTGTCAACTTCTTTGGTGGTGATGGCACTCTAGCTGTGCCCAAAGCGGTCGGGCAGACGTTGGGAAATACCAGCCCTCTACTGGCGCCGATTCTGAAGGCGCCCGTCACTGCCTATGCATACAACCCCAAAGAGGAGGCCGAGAGCGTGGAAGAGCCATTCGCTACAGGCTCGCAGTTGGCGCTTATATCGGCCATGCAAGCCCGCAACTCTGCAAGATTCACAGTCCTCGGCTCGTTGGAGATGCTTCAAGACTATTGGTTTGATGCCTCAGTGAGAGGGCCAACCGGAAAGAGAGCGAAGACTGTAAACCGGGAATTTGCAAAGCAATTGACGGAGTGGACGTTCCAAGAGGTGGGCGTTCTTAAGGTCTTTCATATCCAACACTTTGAGATCAAACCGCCAACCAAAGCCGACGAGAACACCACGCAAATCAGCGAGTATGACCCAGCAATCTACCGAATCAAAAATGACGTGGTAGGTGTTGCCTTGCAAGTACACGGCTGTCCTTAAACTGACCGAGACTCACCAGAAATTCTCAATCGAAATCGGCCAGTACGACCGAACAAACTACGTCCCCTTCACTGTCCCTGCCAACGATGCCCTGCAACTCGAATTCACCATGCTCTCTCCCTTCCACCGCATCCCCCTCCATCCCTCCTCTGCTACCCCGAACAGCACAGTCTTTAGCACGACATTTACGACGCCCGACCAACACGGCATCTTCGCGTTCAAGGTCAACTACAAACGGCCCTTCTTCACCTATATTGAGGAGAAGAGACAAGTCACCGTGAGACACTTTGCACACGATGAGTGGCCCAGGAGTTGGGCTATTAGTGGCGCCTGGCCATGGATCGGTGGCTTGTGGAGTGTCATCCTGGGTTTTCTGGCCTTTGTCATGGTGTGGTTGTATTGTGAGCCGCCAAAGGAGGAAGCAGAACGGCGGCGGAAGTTGAGTGTGAGTAGTACTCCAAGGTGAACAGCCGATACGCCTGCTCTGGATGTGAGTGGTCATGCCAGTTTCCAGAGCCGGAAAAAAAGAATTTCATGTATTCTACGGGCTTCATTGATGGATGGGCTGGGCTGGCATATAGGGAGACTCTAGACAAAAAGGCTCTGAATGAAAAAGCGATCGATCTGTTGAAAAGAGATTCGAAGGAATACGGAGTATTGATTCTTTCACCCTTTCTGTTTGTGAACGTGTCTTGCTTATTGTACGTGCTCTTGCTTTCGTGACGGAAGTGCGATATTTACAACTTACCCTGTGCTGACGGGTTCATTGATACAATATTTACACAGGTTGTTCGGAGTTGTTTTCACTCAATGTCCCTCGACGTTTCAGAATGATTCCTCTTTGACTGACGCGAGGACGTCCATTTGTTGCAACGCCGTGAATAGGCCATATACGCGCCAGCAAGGTCCAGTGCGCTGCTGCGTCTTGTCCAATGCAACTTCTTGCCTCGCAGCCTCTCCGCGGTTGCGAATTGAAGGCCAAGTTGAGACCATTCGTTGCTCTTCGAACTTGAGTTCGAGTTCGAGGTCGAAGTCCCCGAGGGCGGGCTTCGGGGTAGGCGAACTGCTCTCGAAATGTAATAGAGCTTTTGAACATTGGTGCTCCGGCGAGTTCTTCCTCGTGGCTTTTGTGTGTCCATTGGCAGTGCCGATGTTGGGATTATGACTTTGGCGGCATCGAAACTCCCTGGAGCTGCCTCGCGAGGACATGAATGTGCTCGATACCCGAGACGTCACTCCTCTTGCAAATACTTCTGCACCACACTTGGTATGTCCAGTGGGGTCTGTCCTGGATCTGTGCCATTCGAGTCGCATCATCCCAGAGCCCGTTTGCTCGATCCTTGAACATCCCTACAGCCCTCTCGTCTTACCCTCGTCAAATCCCAAGCCTTCAACCTCTCCTTTCTGACCCTTGCCCATCTGCTCCCGAACATCGAACGCCGGGCGTCCAGCGTATAGCTGGCCCTTAAGCCCTCCAGCAGGCGCCCCTCCCACCTTCCTCCCGCTCCCGTCGCCAGCCTCGAGTTCCAAGCTCGTTGAAATCGGGGCGTTTCCTCTAAATCGTTTCCTCATGTCCACCAGTCCGCGCCGGCATTCTCGGAACCCGATCTTGAGTTGTTGGCATTGCTCCGGGAGCGTTTCAAGTAAGGGGTGCGAAAGGCATTCGACGGGCGTGTGCCGCTGGACGAGGATGCAGTCGCTGTTTTGGAGGCATTGGGCGAGCGCGTCGCCTGTTAGACGGGGAGAATAGAGGTTAGTAAAGGATCATAGCGGGAGGAAATAGGAGGAAGAGTGGCAAAACGGTGGAGGAAGGTTGTTGTCGATGCGAACTGCAACAGTATACGAGGTGGTGGGACAGGGACGTACGGATGTCTTTACAGGAGGACGGCATTTGCAAAACAAGTCTGCTACTCAGAAAAAAGGTCGCTTGCTGGGGCTGAATGGGCCGAAACGGAGTACAATAGAGAATATGCAGGATGCACCCACCAGGGAAGGAGCATGAACAGAGCAGAGCAGTTTGAGTATCAGTCGACTTTGGAGACGCCCAGAAGTTTCTCAAGTTGCGGAGTCGGATGACCTGCCGTTTTCGAGTCCCAGGCAGCCCGACGAGGCTGCAGCCTCGCGAACAACGTTTTTTCGATAAGGCTAATCCTCCCCTTTTCGTAGGATCCAATCTAGTGTGAGAAGAGAAACAGTTTTACGACATCCCCATATTGTATCAGCACAGAAGAAAAGCTGCACGAAGGCTTATGCTGTAATTACTTATCATAAGTAGGCGAGCTCAGGGGTGTGAACAAAGAAGCATCAAACCAGACCACACCCAAGCAGACTTCACTGCAGCTACCCACGCTTCCGCCAAGGCTACATCTATATATAAAGAATATCTCTTCGCACCAGTTAATATAGAGGGACCCGCTTTAGAATTAATCGAGTTATGATTTGCAGCGCAGCAATTCCCTCCAACAATTAGTCCAAATCGGAAGAAGTCCAAACAGCATCAAGAGACCCCACTCTACGCTTCGAATACGTGCCCACCTCAGCTCGAAATCCCCGCAAGGGGAGAGTAGAAAATGAGACGGGGCTATTTGTTAAGAGGTCAGTGTATCACGGTCTGGTTGGTGGGGCCTTTCCCGGCATGAGCTTTGCTGTTGGCTATACTCATATAGTAAAGGTAGCAGATGGGGTCTCGCCATGCCACACAACACTATCTCAATATCTGTGCCATTATACTGTGGCTGATGTAAGATTGCTCGATAACTGACCTCCCCCGGGGAGGGGTCAGGAGCCGCATCACCTACAGTGGTAATATCAGGAGATAGTAAGACTGAAGCGGCTGTTGAAAGATTGCTCGAGAACGGTCTCCCACCGGGGGAGATGCCAGGAGCCGCAACACCTGCGATGAAGTCATTGGAAAGGTTACACGATAGACCAGAAGTGGAACTGAACTTTTTTGCTGCTGGATATTTCTTTTGGAGAGATAGTGGTTGGTGTATTTAACCGAGGTTTACTATTCAATCCTCAGTATAACACTTTTCTTTTTTTATAAAATAGAATTTTAACTATATACATATATATACTTAAACCTTAGCGAGAGTAAGAGTGAATTTCACCTATCGCTACTTTACTCCGTAGAGAGAAATGCTATAGATTAAAGCTAATCACTATTTATCCACCCTAGCTTCGACTTCTTGAATCTTCATCTCCAGGTCCTGATTGCGGACCGGCTTCTCAATGGTGATTGCCGTGACGGTCCAAACCGTTGGCAAGACGATTACCAATGCTCCCATCGACAGACCCCAGTTCATTCCTAGCTGCGTCATGGGACTCTTGTGCAAGGCATTGATTCTCCAAGCCATTGCTCCGCCAGTCGCTTGAAAGGTCTTATATGCACCAACGAGAATGGCCGCCCGTGAGGTCGAGTTTGACTCGGTGCCAATGAGCCAATAGCAGAATCCCTGCCACAGCGCGTCATAGGCACCGTAGAAGATGTACAGGAAGATCGGTCCGGTCGACACCGAGCCCTGGGTGTAGTCGATGTCTTGCTTGAACCCAGCGGCGAGTCGGCGATCTTGCCATTTCTGAAACGCATATCCTCCACCCCAGATGGACATGCCGGTGACAAAGAGCACAACCCATCCAACGCGGGCTCGCATGGGCCGGGTGAGGAAAGGGAGATCCAGGAGGACGCCGATCAGGAGACCACCGAGCATCTGCGCGATCCAGTACAAAGCTCCATTGAGAGAGCGAGTCCGAATGTCGAAAGTCATGCCGTTGACTTGGTTTTGCTGATACGAGTAGAAGACATTGGCGCAGAAGAACAGAGGCAACATGCAAAAGACTCGCCAGCTGGCCATTGTCCGCACGGCAATCCCGATGGTGGCCTCCCACGAATGTTTCTCCCTCTCGACGGCGGCATGGAGCTGGGCTAGGCGGATTCGCTTGGGCGAACAGATGAACAGTCCCAATACCCAACCAAAGAGCATGATGATCATCAATGCGATGTAGGTTGAATCTGAGACTGTGCCAGATTTGGAGTGAAAGTTGAGACCGAAGGACGCGAGGCTGCCCACTCCGCCACCGAGATTGAAGATGATCCAAAAGACGGCGATAGCGCGGCCTTTCTGAGACTCTGCAACGTAAGTTGTCATCTGCGAATCTTCTGTTAGCTTGTGCCAATGATGGGGATAGCTATGCCAATGGCCCTGCAAATAGAAAATAGGCTTCCAAAGAAAAGGGAGAGCTCACGATAGCACCCTGGACGACCCAAAGCATCGAGGCACCGATCCCCAAGATAGCACCGGACGCGATGACGAAAGCGCCGTTGTCATGATCTGCACACTGTCAGAAAAGAATCTTTGCAGTTGGAGGTTTTCTCACGGTTGAAGTTGAGCAAGCTACCGCTGTACAGGGCATACGTCCAGCCACCGAGCAAAAAGCAGATCCGCGGCCCTGTGTACGAGAAGAGAGGACCAACTATGAACAAGGCTGTACCAGCAGTTGCAGAAAGGAGAGCGACGGTAGCGTTCGCGGCCACTGTCCCTGTTGGTTAATGCTCGACTCTTGAGAACTATTTGCCTGGTTCAATATACCTGTTGGATCGACTTGTCCAGAACCTCCGAGACCACCAAGCGCATTGTACATCTATTGGCAGTGTCAACATGTCTTCCCCGCGCATTCAACAGCTTGGGGATGCTTACCCCGGGGCAACAGAAGCATATCAGACTGATGAGCAGGATTTGAGTCCATGGATGCCCATAGAAGGCCTGCGCAGAGGAAAAGGGGGAGCTCTCAGCCTGCTCGCCATTGCTCTGATGCGATTCAACCGGCTGCACAGCCCGAACCTCGTCTTCTTTGGTCATGTCGAAGACTCGTGGTCACAGATGGATCTTTGGAGAGTGCACTGCTTTCGCTCTGCAATGGGCAATGCAATGCCCATATAAGGAGCAGCACATAGATTGGCGAACATGGTCGCAACAATCCGGTCTCGCCAGATACCTCCCCAGCCCGAAGGGTACCGTTACATCGACTACTTTGCTCTCCTCATTCCCAAACCTTGATTAGCCTTTGAAAAGGCTCTTGCTGAAGCGAAAGACTGGAGGAGCCGTTTCCTTCATCTGGACGAGATCAATGTTAAGCGGTAAGCGAATCCTTCGATAGTCTCCCGGTCGCTGATCACCGAGGTTCACCTCAGGACTCCAAGGACCCGTGGATGATGCGGGAGACGTACCCGGCCCAACGGGTAGCCGTCAGAAGCCCAGATCCCTTTTCGGTGCGCTTTATGCCGGGGCGTGGTTCTCCGCGTTCATACCTTATTCGAGCTTGCGCTATTTTCCTTGGAGTTGCATTAGGACGAGTGTTACATACGATAAATAAGATCAGAATTGCCGCCAGGTGCAAGTGGATCTCCCGAGTCCAAAGGGTAGGATTTCAGAAGATTAGGATGGAAGAGAAAATGTCTTCAACGGGCGGTGGTGCAATTTCCACCCAGTGGCGGAGCTTGTCTTGGAGTTTGTTCCAAAGAGCTGGCCAGCGGCGAATATCTCAGATGGTCTTACGGTGAAGTGGTGAAACGAAAGAAGACGGAGCCCATGGCGACATTCGAGAACTTGGTCGCATTGCAGACCGAACAGAGAAATGCAAAGAGCACAGACATTGACCAAATCCCGACCATTGAGCTCTGCCAAATCATCAATAGAGAGGACAGTACTATTGCTGGGGCGGTATCGAGATGCATTCCTGTCATAGCGGCGGCCATTGATTGCTTAGCGGAGAGGGTCCAAGCTGGAGGCAGAGTGATATATACTGGTGCCGGGACCAGCGGAAGGTAAACAAGCCACTGGTATCTTTTGCAATGGCGAGGAGCATTCCAGATCTAACGATTTGAGCACAGGCTGGGTGTCTTAGACGCCTCAGAGATCCCACCAACATACTCTGCCCCGGAAGGTCAGTTTGTGGGAATCATTGCCGGTGGAGACGCTGCCCTTAGAAATGCACAAGAAGGGGCAGAAGACGACTCTAATGCCGCCGTCCGAGACCTTGAAGCACTCCAATTGAATGGCGCAGTCGACTCATTGATCGGCATCGCTGCGTCTGGACGCACGCCGTATGTGCTGAGCGGCCTCTCTTACGCTAAGAGCCTTGGTTGCGCGACGATCGGTGTCGCTTGTGCACAGCCTTCGGCCATGAGCACCAGTGGAGTTGTAGACTTCATGATTGATGCGGTTGTCGGGCCCGAGGTTATTACGGGAAGCACGAGAATGAAAGCGGGTACGGCGACGAAGCTGGCTCTGAATATGCTCAGCACAGGCACGATGATCAAAATTGGGAAGACGTACGGAAACATGGTAAGGCTTTTGAACCATCAATGTGTTTCGATGAGAATTTGCTGATCAGTTCCAGATGGTTGATCTAAAAGCAACAAATTTCAAACTCCAGCAGCGCTCTCGAAACATTCTGCGGACGATCTGTGGCTCTCGATGTCCCGACTCGGATGCCAGTTTGGACGCTCTCCTCGAAAGCTGCCAGGGAAGCGTCAAGCTCGCTATTGCAACATTAGGTTTAGGGACTCCAGTGGCAGAGGCGAAACAACGTCTGGAAGAAGCGAGCGGTGTTCTGGCCAACGTTCTAAAGAAGCCTACCAATGGATGTTCGAACGGTCAGACCACCGCAGACGGCGATGCTCCTGATTATGTTCTATGCGTCGATGGCGGCGGGAGCAAATGTGCTGCAGTCGTGATATCGGCGGATGGTCAAAGAGGATATGGTGAAGGACCAGGTTGCAATGTGACAGACGTCGGCGTCGAGTCTGCAGTTCTGTCAATATCATTAGCGATACAAAGGGCATGGGATAGGCATCCAACGGTTAGAACTAGACCGTGGACGTCTGACCGATTTTCATCCATCTGGATCGCTCTCGCCGGCCATGACCGAAAGGAAATCGCAGCCACGGTCGACAGCGTGCTGGAGAAGCTTTTCAAGCGGCCTGTCGGTGTGAAATTGAGAGTTACGAATGACATCGAACTGCTCGCAACTGCAGCAGCGGAGAAAAACGATACCAGCTCAGCAATTGTGCTCGTTGCCGGAACTGGATCGATTGCCATGACGTTCGAGCGTCAAGGAGATCGATTCATCCGCATCGGAAGGTCAGGGGGTTGGGGCCACCTTCTCGGCGATGATGGGTCGGGCTTCGACATTGGGCGACAGGCGCTCCGTCTCGCTTTATCCGCGGTGGACGAATTCAACAATCAAAGGCGCAGCCTGGACGCAGACAGCCTTTTCATGCCAACTCCACTCGTTTCACGAATCCTGGACTCTGTCGGCCCTAACGGCATCGGAACACTCGATTTGGATTTGCTGAGCGCCGTATTGTCGCCCGCTTCAGATGTGGAGAAGAAGAAACAGATCGCCCAAGTTGCCCGGGTTGTGATCGATTCAAGTACAGACGATGCACAGGCGAGGAATATTGTCGAGAAGGCTACAAAAAACCTCGTTCAACTGCTTGACCGGCTCACGAGATCTGGACAAATTGACGTCGCAAAATCTAGTTTGGTGCTAGCCGGCGGTTTAATGCAAAGTAATGTCTTCGCAGACGCATTCAACGAGGCCTTGCATGCCGTTGCGTTCGACTTCAAGCATGTCGAAGTGGTCAATCAACCAGCGGTTATGGGCGCTGAGTACTTGCTGCGGATGCAGAGAGGCTGAACTTTGGCAGGACCCGAGAAAGACAAAGGTGGTTCGTTTGCGTAGGCAAGTGGTTGAGGCTTGTGATGTTGTGCGACGACAGTTGCAAGGTGCGCTGCCCTTCGGGAGGAAAAGGGATCAGCCTCGCAGCCTCGCAGCCTTGCAGCCTTGCAGCCTCGCGAAGAAACAGAACATTCTCACGTACACAGCGTTGATTGCTGTCCAACCGGGAACTATGTATAGTGCTGAGAAACACTCTGCCTGCAGCGCATATGCATAATCAAACCGCCAATTCCAGTACACCGACGCAAATTCGCCAACACATTAAACGATTCATACCCGGCCCCTCCAAGAGCCATTCCGGAAGCTACCGTCTTCATCTCATTTCCACGTCCCATGCGTTACCAGCGCTCGCTTCTCCTCTCATGAGAAATTCTGTGAGAAGAAGGGCATAACTCTCTCCAAACACTTCTTAACCTCCGCCGCCTCTCTCTCCATCCTCGTCCGCTGCTCTCGCATCTTTTCTATCTGCGCCATCACCTCCCTCTTCTCCACCGCCAAATCCTCATGTCCTCCCCTCAATCTATCATTTTCTTTTCGCAGATCCGATTTTTCGCGCTCGTGTTGTTCCACATCCGCCATGAGCGCTGTTAATTCCCCTTCTTTGCGACGCAGTGACTCTTTATGCTTCGAGGAATCGAGGGACATAGTGGTGATTTGATTCCTCAGCTCCTCGTTCTGGCCCTGGACTTCTCGAAGCAGCCTCTTCGTGGTGTTCAATTCGCCCGTGGTTTGCGACAGTTTGGTCTCGGCGTCCTTGTCAATTTTGGACAGAGCGGTTTCGAGCTCTTGCAGTTTGCGCTCTTTGGAGCTCAGTTCATTCCGTAGCGAGCGAATTTGCACGTCAAAGTCCTCTGCTTGTCTTCTGTTCTCTTCTGCCCGGAGGGATTCAGCGCGATGAAGTTTCTTCTCCAATTCTTCTGTTGTTTTGTCTCTCTGGGAGAGCTGGCTTTTCAGCGAACGTAGCTCCTGCTCAAGACCTTCTATCGCCCTGTCGCGTTGGGAGAGTTGACTTTTCAGAGATCGAAGTTCCTGATCAAGACTCGAAGCGCGAGTCTCCTTGTCCTTCTCAGCTTGCTGCAGACTTGTCTCGAGTTCAGATATCTTGCGGTCTTTCACGCTTAGGTTACTTCGTAATGAACGAAGCTCCTGACTGATGGTTTCTAGCCGGTCATCGTTCTGTGTATGCGACCTCTCCACGCTTTCCAGCTCGTCTTCTAGCTTGTCGATCTGCCTTTGAAGCTCTTTTTTCTCCGCTTCCAGTCTCGTTATGATCTGGCCAGCCTGCAGAACTTGTTCTCGACGAGTGGCTAGCTCCTCTTCAGTCTTCTTTTTGGAATCCAATGCCTCATCTAATTGGTCTTCAAGTGTCTCTTGCTCAGCAATGGCTTCGGCCAGCTTCTCGCTCAGCTCGTTTTCACGGTATTGTAATCGTTTGAAGATCTCCTCTTTATCCAAAGCTAGCGCTCGTTCTGAATCCAAGGTCTGTTGTATTCGGTGGGCTTCGATTTCTGCACGCCTTCGTTCGTCTTCCACGCGTTGTCTCTCTGCTGCGTCTTGCCTCAGCTTCGCTTGCAATTGTTCGATTTTCTCGTCTCGTTTCTTGACTTCACTTGCGGTTCGGGTCGCTCCAAGCAACGGTTTCATGCGAACAAAGAGCCGCCACCACGGATTGGCCTGGAGATCAAGGTAGACGTTGAGATTCCGTTGAATGACCCTTGTGGCTTCTGCGCGATAGAGTTGTTTAAAAGCCACCCGCCGTTGCATAAAGCCTCGAGCAACAGACTGGAATCTGGACATGATCTCCCGGATCAGACTGTCGCGTTGCTCTTCCAAGTCAGCTAGGACTCCTGCACGGAAAAAGACCTTTGTGAGGCCGACGCGATAGTTGGAGTGATCCATCTTGAGTCGATCAAGCATGATCTTTGCCACCTCCTGGCCTCCTAGATAGCCTTTCGGCATATTCTCGCACAAAACCTCGTATCTTGAGCGGAATTCTGCAAAGGTCAAACGATTGGGGAAACCCGTACGTGCTATCCGGATACCCTCGAGCACGCCATTACATCTCAACTGGTCCAGAACCAGTGGCGCAACGAACTGTTTGGGCTTTTTCTTGTGG